ACAGTCTGTCCCAACTACACAACTGTCACCCACATCCAGAGGCCTACTTTGGTCCTATGTTGGTTCCCCTGCTGTCAGTCTGGAGTCGATTAGCTGCCATTAGCTCAGGTAAGCTGTTTCAGTCGTTATCCCCATCATGGTCTTGACTTCTTTGCTCGTATTCTCACTCCACCCACTCTTTGCCTGGTCTTTGTGAGCTCAGCCCAGTGGGTCTCTGCCTCTGCTTCCATCTGTTGCTAGATCAAGATTCTATGAGGGCGTTTAAGACAATCATTAATCTGACTACAGGGCAAAGCGCCTTCTTCGCGCACCCTTCTCCACTATTGCTTAGGGTCTTGCTGAGGTAATCTTTGCGAATACCTGGGAATTTCTCTAGTGTCAGGTTTCTTGCTAGCCCCATAATGGCTCCCTCTATCAAGATATTTCTTTCCTTGCTCGATGTCTCTGTTCTTCCCCCATCTGGACAATACTGTTTCCTCAAGTTCTCCTCCCCCATCCTCTCCTGCTGCTCTTTTGCCCTCACTTCTACCACCACTCCTATGCTCCCAATTTTCTCAACATATCTTGTCAATTTTCCCACTCCAAGGGGGATCAATATTTTGTTTTTGTTTTTGTTTTTGTTTTTTTTTTTTTTGATTGTAGAAGGATTTTGGAATTGTGTGCCAGAAAGCCATTGAGTCTCCAAAGCTGGGTGTGTTGTTTTGTGGAGGTAACATATGAATGTGAAGAGAAATGCCTTGGAAAGAGGCCTGGCTTGTAACATTCCATTGGGAAAGTTTCAGAGTCGCTCAAAACTCCATCAGGGACTTTGCACAATTTAAGTTAAGAAACTGTAGTTCTGGTTACCTGGAGCTGAAAAACAGCTGTGATTAACAAGAAACCAGAACCATTGAGGAAAAAAGAAAACCTTTGCTTTGCTGGGTTTATCAACACTGGTCAGCTGGAATTAAGAAATTAGCAGTCACAAGCAGAGTCCAACATCATTGAGAGGAAATCTTCTGGGAAGTGTTTTCTCAGTCTGAAAACCCAGAAGCTGTGCTATAGAAATGGCCAGGGTCCTATCTTCTGCTGACTGCTGAACTTGGCAATAGAATAGTCAGACAGATGGTACTTGTTTTGAAGGAATAAAGAGGTCATGGAGAACTACTGAGGCTTTAGACTGTGTGGCAAGCCTGGAGTCTCTGAGGAGAGTATAGGAGAAGCTATTGGTGAAGGTGTAGCCAAGTTACAACAATTAACTCCTTCATTTAGCCATGCCAGTACTATGAGTTGACCACCAAGAACAGCAGCAGTGGTGGGATGGATCCAAGCTGTGTGTAATACATAGGACAAATCCAGTGAAGTGACAAAAGCCCTTTCTAGGAGACCAGAAGATAAGGAATGGATCTCAGACATTGAATCTTGAGTTATTACACAGTTATGTTTTTTTTTTAAATGGTGATGGTGCCCTGGTTCTTCCCTCCTGAAGTAAGTGGCGTCCAACGTTGGGCTATTTTGCCCCCGACTCAAGCGTAGCCCGCTAGCTAACACAGCACGCTCCCTTGTGCCGATTTTTAGTTCGTGACTCAGGCCCCAGTGCCAAGTCCGAGACACACTCGGCCACACAGGCCCATTCTGCCCCGCCTGTTCGCCAGAGCAATTAACCCCTCCCTGCCTGCCTTGGCTAAGTTTGCACCAGAACCCCACTACCTGAATTAGCGGAAGCTCAAGTACCTGTGGTTTTGCAACAAAAGCTGCCACAGTGGCAGATTTGGTCTGATACAAAGTGACTTGGCAGGGCAGTGAAGGAGCATGCATTTAATCCCAGCACTTGGGAGGCAGAGGCAGGCGGATCTCTCTGAGTTCGAGGTGGGCCAGGCGGTGGTGGCGCATGCCTTTAATCCAAGTGCCTAGAAGGCAGAGACAAACAGAGACCTCTGTGAGTTCAAGGTGTAATAGTGTACACCTTTAATCCCAATGCCTGAAAGGCAGAGACAGGCAGATCTCTGAGAGTTCAAGGACAGCCTGGTCTACAGAGTTATTCCAAGTCAAAGATACAGAGAACCTGTCTCAAAAAGCAAAAAATAAAAATAAACAAAATAGAGGTTAAAATAAAATGCACAAAGATGGAAAATACACAGAGAATTTTGATAGTGTATGCTATTATGCTCTCTTTGAATTGTTTGAATGCTGCGAAAAGAGCAACAGCTGTTAAAAGATATTTGTTTATAAATGCTGCTGAACTAATCCAATATAGATATTTTGAAAATGCCTTGACTTTTAAATTTGGATCTAAGGACACGATGCTTTGGAAAGGAGCTTCTTATTTTGTTTTCATAGAGGGTGAGAGTCTGTGGATTTCTTCTATTCCAATACGGTATGATGGACCACGCCCTGCTGAAGGTTTGCTGTGAACACCTTCAGAAAATTGCTTTGCTCAACTGCTAACTGAGATGAAACTAGCACACAGGTTATACCATGAAAGACCTAATTAATGATGCCCCCATTTAGCAGGAAACAGTTTGGAGAGAAATAACTGCACCCATGTTCCCAAATATGGTTTATAAATGTTCTTTTACATTTAAATGGGGATATGATATAGGTATGAATAATTTACATTGACATGGATTTTGCTTTAGTGATATAAATTTAAGGTCAATATTGTTATATGTATATATGTTTCTGATCTTGATTAAGGTATTGTGATTGTGTAGTTCACTGAAAATGTAATATATATATATATATATAGCTTGTTAATCGATAATCATAATAGTCAAGCTTGTATTCATGTTAGTTAAGATTTTCTAGATGTACATAGATATATTTTAGATAGGCAGTCTTCATATGATGTGGGAGTGTCATTTATCAATCTGTTGATTTCATTGGTTAAGCAATAAAGAAACTGCTTGGCCCTGATAGGTTAAAACATAGGTGGGAGGAGTAAACAGAACAGAATGCTGGGAGGAAGAGGAAGTGAGCTCAGAGAGACGCCATGCTCTCCTTTCCCGGGCGGACGCGAGAGCTCTGCTCTCTGAGGCACACGGGATGAAGCTCCGACTCAGGATGGACATAGGCTAGAATCTTTCCCAGTAAGACTGATGCTACACAGATTATTAGAAATGGGCTAGTCCAGGTGCAAGAGTTAGCCGAGAAGAGGATAGATATAATGGGCCAAGCCGTGTTTAAATGAATACAATTTGTGTGCTGTTATTTTGGGGCATAAACTAGCCAGGTGGCTGGGGTGCTGGGGACGCAACCCTGCCACTCCTATTACTACAAGTAAGAAAGCATTTGATTTTATTGGAGGCTACAATAAAAGTTGAGAACTTAAAGTTGGGAGTCTTTGGATTTTAAACGAGACTTCTGATTTTAAAAAAGATTAAATTTGAAGTGTTTTAAATTTGTAAGAATGGGTCTTTCAAGTTTGAGAATGTCTTATATTGTGATATCAATATTAATGTGTAACTTGGGGGAGGAACAAGAAAAGAAAGGTTGTAGCTTAACAGTGATGTGCTTGCATGTAAAGCTAACAGAGAGTTAAGCTAAAATCATCTGAGATCTGGGAGGACAGAACCCCAAGTAACAAAGAGCTTCTGTAAGATCTAGCCATCCAGAAGCCTATAGGGCATTTTCTTTGTGATTGAAGGGTGAGGGCCCAGCCCATTGTGGGTGGTTTTATGCCTAGGCTCATGGTGTTAGTTTCTGTAAGAAGGCAGGTTGAGCAAGCCAGTAAGTTGCACTCCTTCATCACATCCACCTCAGCTTTTGCCTCCAGGTTACTATACCTTGACTGAAATAAACCTTTTCCTATCCAAGTTGTTTTTGGTCACAGTTTTTCACCACAGCAGTAGTAACACTAGCAGATAGCACCAAGTCCAGTACAAACTGAAATAGGTATTAGCTGTGATCACCTTTGCCTTGTTTGTCTCTACCTCTCAGGGAATCTGTGGATTATTTAAATGGTTGGTACTAAGATAATGATAGTCTAGTTGTCTATCAACCAATGGCGTTTCATCTAATAACTGCTAATTATAGAGTCTAACTATTCTATCCTCCACTTGCTCAGCTAGCTTTCTTGTAGAAACCAGGACCATCAACCTAGGGAGGTACCACACGCTATGGAAAGGACCCTCCCTTATCAACCACTCATTAAAAATGTGTTCTGTAGCCCAATATTATGAAGGCATTTTCCAAATTAAGGTTCCTTCCTCACCAATTACTACAGCTTGTGGGAAGTTTACAGAAAAAAATAGCCAGCATAGAAAGTATCCCTATCTATCTCAGAAGGACGTAGAAGTGTTTAATTTCATACTGGTTGATATATCCCACTATGTAACAAATTATGGATGAGGATAGTTTGGGAAAAACTACTGGACACATTTTAATGGATCCAGTAATTTTGATCAAATAATGTATTACTTTAAATCCTTTTAGTAAGCAAATACATATTTTTATTTTTTATTCAGTTTATGTGTCTGTTTTCTGTGTGCATGCATGCATTAGAGTTCAGAAGCTCATGGGAGCCAGGCAAATCCTGTCAGGGCATCTACATATATAGTTGAAGGTGACAGTGAGCTGCCTAATGGGGGTGCTGGGAACAAGTTTTGGGTCTTCTCCAAGAGCAGTATGTGTTTTTAATTTTAAGCCGATCTACCTTTCCAGCTCTCCCCAGAATTGTGACTGCTTAAGATATATATATATATATATATATTTACATGCATATACCTTACAGCAACACTATGAAAAAGGTAATGTTACCAGTTCTATTAAACAGTTGAGGAAACTGATAGTATTAAAGCTGTTTTTGTCATATGATTAACGGGGAAAGCCCCCAGAAGCGTAGGTTGTATATACTTCCAATCAAAGGGTCATGGATAAAATGCTGCTTGTTGCTTTGGACAGTTACATAGCATGGATTTATTATCTCATTCTCTCTTGTTAGAATATTCTTAAATATCAACATTTCTGTTTCTGGCAGTAGTTTTATAATCTCTTCATTATTTGTCTTTTTCTTTGTGCAGTGGGATGCCATTACTGAAATGGATGAGCACAACAGGCCCATACATACATACCAGGTATGCAATGTCATGGAACCAAACCAAAACAACTGGCTTCGGACTAATTGGATCTCTCGTGATGCTGCACAGAAAATTTACGTGGAGATGAAGTTCACACTGAGAGATTGTAATAGCATCCCATGGGTCCTGGGAACTTGTAAGGAAACATTCAATCTGTATTATATAGAATCGGATGAGTCCCATGGGACTAAATTCAAGCCAAGCCAATATATAAAGATCGACACAATTGCTGCTGATGAGAGCTTTACTCAGATGGATTTGGGTGATCGCATCCTTAAGCTCAACACTGAAATTCGTGAGGTGGGGCCCATAGAAAGGAAAGGATTTTATTTGGCTTTTCAAGACATTGGGGCATGCATTGCCCTGGTCTCGGTTCGTGTTTTCTACAAAAAATGCCCCTTCACTGTGCGGAACTTGGCTATGTTTCCTGATACCATCCCAAGGGTTGATTCTTCATCTTTGGTTGAAGTGCGGGGTTCATGTGTGAAGAGTGCTGAAGAGCGGGATACTCCTAAACTCTACTGTGGAGCTGATGGAGATTGGCTTGTTCCTCTTGGAAGGTGTATCTGCAGTACAGGGTATGAAGAAATTGAGGGATCCTGCCATGGTAAGACGCAAAACTGCAAATAATTTATCTTGTATCTTAAATTGTTTCTCAGAAGTTTTCGTGCTTTTCCTGATCATTTCTTGTTGAAGAAATTGACTTCTATTAACTGAAGACAAACTGATCTATTGTTTTTACCTTTCATATGGAAATGATATAACATATTTCTTTCAATTAAACCCTGTAAGTTCTTGGAATCATATCATTTTTATATAGGAAAACAATACCAACCTCTGTGGATTACTTACCTTTGCTAGCCAGTAAATTTAATATAGGTAAAATTTTTACCTATATTAAATTTTTAATTTTAGTAAGGTATTTAAATATAATTGTTAACATATAATAACATTGCAAAATATACTTAAATTTCAAATTATAACTTTCATATTTTTATCATGAGAGTGGAATAATTGATTTAAGAATAATTTTTCTCTCACCTTAATCATCTCATTGAGACTTACTAATTAAATAAATAAAATTACTTAACCTTAATAAAACCCAACTATTTACCTATATTTAAATTGAAATTTCAAGTAATACGATGTAGAAATACAGTGATCATTTTGTACAGAGTGGTGGACCAAACATGTTCTAATCTCTGTGGTAAATTATTCCCAGGAATATTTATCTTCTGGCATTATATTATATTTATTCACTAATATACTAGCATTACATTCACATCTGTTTAAAATGCTGAAAGACATAAAGATGGGAAAGAAATAAAAAGATTCTCTTACATATGCAAATGTACTTACAAATGTATATATAAATATTGAGCAATAAAATGAATATTCACAGGTGTAATCAATACTTCACACGAGCTATTGATTATCACAAATTTCACTAAACTGTTAACTGATGGTAATGCTTGGAGTTGAAAAACATTAATAGTGGCATGAGAAGATTTTATCTGTTGCATAAAGCATGAAACAGTCTCTACAATTTAAAAACTAAGATATTTTATTAAAATTAAACAAATATTTAAAAACCTAACATTTTTGTCCACCTATATCAAGGTTTTATACTAGAGAATTTATAAATTATCCTAAAAGGGATGGCCTACGAATTTCCTTTGCCTTTGAAAAGGCATAAATAAACATTAATTAACTCTTCAACAATTTTGGGAAAGCAAAAGAGCTCTGGATAAATATTATAAATCTAGGATTCTATGTATTTATTATTTAACAATATTTTTATATGAAATTTCACTTTTACATAAGGAATAAACTTTCACTCATTGTTTGGCAGAGATGGTTTTAAAGAAAAGATAAATAGCATTAGTTTATTTTGAGACTGAGTATTTGCATTTGCAATATTATCTTTAGTACCCTTCCTCTGGTCACAGAAACAAGAGGCTCTGTGTACTGCCCAGGCACTCATCATTTCTAATAAACATAGCAAAATGAGAATTAACCTTGGATGTTATATCCTTAAATTACTAACTAAAAAAATTGACTTTATATACATAAAGTAGTAATCGTAATTGATATGAAGTAATCATAAAACTTCTAAATATATATGGTTCCCACTATAAGTAATAAACTGTTATTTTCAAACAAGTGGGAAACAGAGTAGATGTAAAGATTTTTATAAAGATATGCTTTCCATTTTAAGCTATTCATTTTTTTGAGCACTTTTATAATGTTCCTCTCTTTCCTACAATAATAAGACATACCATTGCTTCTATTCTCTGCCAACACTTTATATCACAGCCAAACCTCTGAACTTTTCATAGCAAGTGCCAAAGTATTCAAATGTCTATGAATAAACTTATTCATGAACTTTATATACTTATATGAATTAAATAAGCACTTCAAACTATAACTTGACTACACATCTATGGAGGGGGAAAGAGAAGCATAATTTGTATTTACCTTTATTGGTTTAGCTTACTTTGATAAAATAATCATTTATATTTAATATTTTTGAATGTATATTCTCTTAGTTACTCCTGTTGATGACATATGTGTGTTGTATTTATCTTTGAGACAAAACAACACAAAACAGTCAGCCAGACACATCGATAACTTAGTACATTCATGTAGTAGATAAACTTAAGACAGAAAAATGTTGAGTCTCCTAATGAGACTATCTGATTGCTTGACCAGAGTCGGAGTGCTTAAGATTATCTCTTCCTTCCCAGAATTATTCTCTAGGTGGCCTCCAAAGATTGCAGAAATTACCTTAAGCTTTCCTACAACATTGAAGGATCAGAAAGAAAAGGCAACCAAAAAAGAGAAGGAAAGATAAGGTTAAGCATTTTTCGTGTTTCATGGGTGTAGAAGTGTAGAAGGAAGAACCTGTGAGGGATTAAATAGCTGATACTGTATTGACAAAGGGCTACAGCTGTGTTACTGACCCTCATTCCACTGTTTCTCCCTCATTAATGTCCTTACTTCCTTACATAAACCTGTGCTTCCATTTTATGGCATCATGCTGAAGCCCAACGTAGCTTCATCAAAATCCATTTCAGATGAGAGTGAAATGTTATACTTGAATCTCCTCTTATTTGAAAGAAAGTTTGTATCATAAGTTGACCTTGAAAGCAATTTCCTTGGTGCCTTCCAAAACCCTGCCCCGTCTCATTGTTATTCTACTCTGTATCACATAATCCATTCAATCCCAAAGTGTCCTGTTTATTGCTTACTGTCAACTTGACCCAACTTAGACTAACTTTGGATGCCCAGCATCCAAATTCAAAGATTGCCCAGCATTCAACCTGAGGCCACTGGTCTAGGATTGTAATTTTTTAAAATTGTTATTGGTGGGTCCAGCACACTGCCTAGGTGGGCTATCATGAAGTCTCTAAGAAAGCTAGATGAGCAAGCCTGTAATCAGTGTTCCTCTCCAGATTCTGCTTGAGTTTCGAGCATGACTTCTCTTAGTGATTCATTGTGATGTGGAAGAATAAGTCAAATAATCACGTCCCTCCTTTAAATAGCCTATTATAAGAATGTTTTATCAAAGCAATAGAAGAGAAAACTAGGACACAAAGCAAAGGCCATTGCAGTTTTTAACTTGACGTCATGGGAGTCCCTTATGTTTCCAAAATGATTTTGTAGGTCCGTTGAAAGTGACTATTCACTACAACATTCAAAAAAAAAAACTCACAATTTGGTCTCCTTTTGCTTTATAACCTTGACAAATGTTACCTGTTGTTCTGACTTACTGGTTTTGAACAATGTGTATGTTCCTCATGTCTCTTAATGTTTTCTGTGCTTTATCTAAGGGCTTGGTTCCTTTATTGGTTGTGTTTTCTATCCATGAATTTCATTAATCTTACCTAATTAAATGTAATTATTTATATAGGTTGGTTCTCACAAAAAATTAATCCCCCTTTCTTTGTTTTGTGCTATAGTTTGTAATAATTATGCATGAGTCTTTTTCATCGCATCTATCAGATAAAGAGTTGTATTTAAAAAATCACCTGTGCAATATAGTGTAAGAAATGGGTTTCTGTGAATGACCACAAGGCAGTGAGAAAGGAATGCAGTAAAAGTAAAGCCCATCCATCAGGGCACATGTTTCTCCTCATTATCTCTCAGTGCTTTAGATCTGTAACTATTTAGAAAATGCTGCTACCTTTAATTTTACTAATGATAAGCTGAAAGTATTGGAAACAGAAATGTTTTGCTTGGGATTGCAAAACAGCTGCTAACATATTGAGAATGGAAGTCCAGTTCTTTCTCTACTTGGCCTTTGAGAGGCAGTGACTATTTTCAAACTTTGCTTGAATAAACTTGAGAATTAGGGTTCAGCGTGCAGCAAACCCACAGAAATGTAATTTATAGTATAATTCCATATTGTCTGTCACAAGGAGATGCAGGGTTCCTTTTTTTACATAATTTGGTCCTTGTTAAAATTTAAGAACTTGACAAAATTTTGAAGTTTGAGAGACTAAACAGGAGGCCATGCAGGTTTGAACTCTTAGTAACATCCAAGAGTAAAGATATAGACAGCAAAAACTAACGTTATTATTTTTGTGTTAAAATTCAAGGAAAGAGGCAGGCATGGTAGCAGAAGTCTTTAAGCAGTTTCATGGGCAGGGCCTCTGTAAGGGAACATAGTCCCAGAGACAATTAGGGTAAGCTGGTTTTGTAGTCTGTTGTCCATCCAAAAGTGGAATGTAGAAAGAGGAAGACAGAAGAAATTTTTGCTTTCTGAGCTCTAATGCAGTGCCTTAGTTAGGTTCACTTTTGTTGTGATGAAATCCCATAACTCAAAGCAACTTGTGGAAGAAAGGGTTTATATTACTCAATTTCACATAACAGCTCATCATCAAATGCAGTTAGTTCAGGAGCACATAAGGGAAACTTGGAGGCAGGAGCTGATGGAGAGGCGATAGAGGGATGCTGCTTACTGACTTGCTCCCCATGGCTTGATCAGCCTCCTTTCTTATAGAACTCACAACCAACAGCCAATGAATGGCACCACCCATAATGGGTTGGGCCCTCCTCCATCGATCAGTATTTTAAAAAATATTGTCTTCCAGTCAGATCTTATGGAGGCATTTTCAGAATTGAGCCTTCCTCCTTTCTGATGAATTTATCTTATGTCAACTGATATATAAAACTAGCTAGTACATGTGGAAAACTGAACAGCTTAGTACTGATTCAGTAAGCAGCCAAGTTTTAAGAGTCTTCCAGAACTCTTGTTCTAGAAGTTGCTGTGTCAAGAAAGTATTTACTCTTTCTTTTTCCTTTTTTCCTTTTTCCAGGTATACCATATTCCTTTCTGTGTTCTTTCTCTAAGCCCTTTCTTTCTTTGGAAAATACAGTATTCTCCATTATCTCTGGAGGTCTCAATCTTTGTCTGAGCAGTAGAAGCTGCTATACTCTTAATCTTAATTATTAGACAGTGACTAAGCCCTTTGTGAAAGAGTTTACTGAAATCAACCATGATACTTGTGTCAAAGGATATCACCATGCTAGTATATGTGTGCCTCAAAGGAATCCCTCAATATGGAAGGCATCTGTTATATACGTCAAAAAGGATGTCACAGG